AGCTGATGTGGGCTTAATACGCGGCTGGGCTTATTAGCCGTGGGCTTAATAGTCGGCGACTACTGTAATCCTTAATTAGTCCGAACACACCGTGGGGTTTTGGACTTTGACTGAAGTTGTTGCGAGTAAATATCATAAGTTCAAAATGCTTTTGTCAGTTATACATATTCCAAGGACTTTGACCCTACTAGTATCGCGCGATTCCGTACACTTTACTTAACAAAACCGTCTATTCACCTCACCTAACTGTCTAACGTGTTTTGTGGTCAAACATTTAATTGTTAGTTAGTCAGTGTAAATGAATATTTAACTACGGTAGAAGTGATCAAAAATACTAAATTAAAGAAACTTATATTTATTTCAGTGTACTAAATAGAATAATATCCATCAATATAAAGTCCTGTTACTCCGGATACTGACGCCAATTGAAGGAAATTCAACCTTATCTTGATGGAATTTGGCAGAAAAAAGGGAAAATCGACCTTATATTGCCAGAATTTAACGAAGAGGAGTGAAAGTCGGGTTACTGGACATGTAAAAGTAGGTTATTGTTATAAGTCAAAGGCGAACAGGTCCTCTAAATACAGTTCTATCCTTTACTTAGTCTCATGCAGCCTAGGAAGGTATCTCGTAAACATCGGACTGCCCTCATCAGAATTTAAGCAAACTTCCCTGTCAAATGCGCGGCCATACGTTACATGAGGAGCTCAGGAGCCTAATAAACCAAGTTTTTATCCATTCATATTCGAAGAGTGTGCTTGTAGCGCTCTAAGGACGACCCTAATAGCAATGCGTGCGTTATCGTACTACGCAAACGCTAGCTATACGCGTGCTTGATTGTCATTGATTGGGATAATTACGTAATCGATAGATGATTAACTTATCGATTTTCGCATGCTCTCGTGCGCGGTGGCCACGATTGTGACGTGTCGCAATCTGTTGATAAGACGTACAAGTGAGCTCTCCTTACTGTGACTGTAAATCCGGCAAACCTGTTTTTTCTGTTCCCTTCAGAATGTGGAAGCCACCATCACAGAGAACAATACGAAGACGCGCTTTGCGCGGTTATCTTGAAGATTTACGCCAAATTGAGCAGGCGACAAGGGAAATGACGAGATTTTCAGACTATGTTGACTCTTCTTGCAGTTCTTCATCTGAAGATTCAGACTCCAGCATATCATCGTGGGAGGAAGATTGTAGTTCTTTCGGGACTACCGAATTTCTTCAAGAAGCAGGTTCCCATAAAAATACAGTGGTATATGACCATGTTGTTCGTTCCTTCTAAGAAAACATTAACGGTCGACGCAAAATATGCACGCCACGGCATCAGCGTGGCGCTTGTGATCTTTTTCGAATGGTGCTCAGTTGAATTAGTTTCACGGAGCGGCTGTATTCAAAAACGATCAAACCAGCTTGGCTACGCACTCTGATTACTCACTCAGGTGGTTTTAGAAACACCTGAAACTAGAACTTATTAACATAATTATTCACCTACTGACTGCACTTATCTAAAGCTCCATTTTGTGGCCTGCTAAGGTAAAACAAGCCAGTGTTCAATGGCAAACATTTACAGTATGTCGAATGCTTAACATTAGTCAACAGTAGCGCCGGTATAGAACATAACAGACCTGAATGTTATCGAATATGGTTTACAACAAGCTTGCTATTGTAGATTATTTGTTCGAAACACACCGTACTTTTTGACAAAGTCCTGGTAAACTTCTGTTGAAAAGAGTCCACGAGGAAGAAAATGCACGACCAGGCTGACACCAGCAACGGTTCCTCTATTCTTCTTCTTCTTCTCAGAATCAGCCTCAGTTGAGGTGGACAGAGCGTCGAAGATGTCTGGATTCTTGAGGAATCGAGAAACGTAGGAAGAGTCGGGACAATCGACGACTAAAAGGCATTTCAATAAGACATTTCTACTGAATTTTAGCCAAGGGATATCGCCAAATAATTAAAATTTTAGGAATTTATACACGTCTCACGAATGACAGTGAAGTTAAACTTTATGGCGATGAA